TACTGGATTTTCACAGATTTGAAATCAGCATAAAATTGCCTTTCTAGTGATTTATCACAGTCACAGTTTCATCGCATAAAGAGTACTGCTTTTCAATTTTTGTTGTTATGTCCAGTAGGCTATGCGCTAAACTCTCTATGAACAAAAACGATTATGTGTTCTGGCACAACTTTCATAGAGTAGGCTTGGAGCCAAGTGACTTTTTGGTAAACTTCGAGAGAAAGAAGTTGATTATTTCGGGGCAAACAATGCCGTTCACAAAAACCAGTGACAGTACAAGGGTTAAGAACTCGTGATGATGAACGTCGTCTCGAGTTTTGTCACTGGTTCGTCAACCAGTGTGAAATAAACGATATTGATATCTCGAAAATCAATTTGGTGCTAAGTTAATTACTACTCATGGACCTGTTAGATGGCCTCGAAGGTCGCTTGATTGTACGCCTATCCATTTTTACCTGTGGGGCTACGCCAAAAATTAAATTTCGTGAAGAGCCAATTCAAGATATTGATGATCTACGAGAGAGTGATGGACACATTCCAGCACATCAGCAGAGTTCATCTGAGAAAAGCAGCGAATCATGTTCGCTCGCGAATATTGAAATGTATCAAGAACAATGGGGGCCATTTCGAAAAGTTCAATTATTTTTTTTTCAGTATTTGTATTATCCACCTGTTAAGTTATGCAAGAACATAGAACACAGATTCCATAATCTAAGGTAAAAGTCATGGTGGAGTAGTAACTGATAACAAAACATAATGAATTGTCGTGGAGTTTTATTTATTAGTTACAGAATTCATAGCCTACTGGACATAAAAACAAAAATTGGAAATCAGTACCCCAAATAGAATGATACATCATCAATTGTGATACATCACTAGAAAGAAATCAAAATCGCGATAGAATATTTTCAAGCAAATATCGCTTTCCGAAGAAAGAATTGAATTGATATCAGGTCGAAATATCCAGAAGAATATCTATATCTGGTAAGAAGGTTTCCCACGATTATTATTGATTTGAACACATCTCTGTTTCCATCTGGTATATTCGATTGAATGAATCGGAAATTATTCGTTGTTTTTCTCATGATACTGAGAATATTAAGCGACAGTTATTCTGTAGCATTCAAATCAACTTTCGTTGGATAAAGGAATATATCTATGTATAACGACTAGCAAAAACAATTCGTGAGGAATCAAAGTACAAGGTGGGAAGTTTCTTATTGTACCTTAATACTTCTGTTCACATTTCAAAACGCATCAAGGCAACATTTGTTTTCAAGGAATGCTTTGATTCAGCTTATTTGCATTCACAAGTTCAGTTGCAAAATGATTTCTCTCTCGGAATCCAACTGGTCTTATTTCGCCAGAAAATAATTGAATAAACAATGAAATATCCAGGAATGCTTCAATTCATCTGCCCTTGTGAACAAAAAACAGAACAAATCGTCTGTTCATCTCCTGAAAATAAAAGGACTGTCGAGGGTAATATATCACTCTACTACCCTTCAGCTACAAAATGAGGCCACGGCTCTTGCTTCCTGCGTCCTCTAAGGACTTCATTGGATTCGTGTCCCCAATGAATGGTTGAAGGAGTCTTTTCAGGATCACTATGGAAGGAGAGTTTGTGGATGGTGACAAGAATCATTTGTTACTTCCCTCTACAGTTACTGCACCAAATATCTGTCGCTGATGGATGATATTTCCTAGTACTAGTACATAGTTCTAATATCTGGCAGTGAAGAACAGGGAGATTCATAATGTTCCCTGGCCGATATAAACGAAGCGTATTCAATGCCGAGAGTTTGAACATTATCATCAATTGTACCAAGGCAAATGATCAGACGCCGCACTGTTACAAACAGTGATCAAAAATACCCGATATAGGGTGGCAACGTACATATCGTACTATAAGATAGTACATATAAAGAGATCTAAGATGAGATAATCAAATGCAACCACACAGTATTGTCAAGACTATGGATCGGAGAATTACCGATTCTTCGATCTCAAGACACACCTGGATTCAAAAGAGCGGAAAATACTCTAATTCTCAACAGTACATCGATTTGGTTGAAGTAAAGACCGGTTGTTCGAGAGTTTCCTGAATAATTGAGAATTGTGGAATATGCGGCATGGATAATGAGATTTGTATCCAATTCGAAGAGATATGCACTGTAGCAAGTAGAAGAGGTCACTATTGACGAACCATATGGTGAAGGAGAATTCAAGAATTCCAAGATACGCCAACTTTCTCCATGTCTACATGAAAAAGAGATCTTGAGGATGGATTGTGGAACTGAATATGCGAAAGTTAGGTTCAACAAAGAATCATTTATGAATCTTTCTCCTTGATTGAATCGAAGGAATGCTAGTGAAATATCATCATGAAAAAGCTGAACACGTCACGAGAAACCGTTTTGAGAAACCCAAAACAGAAACTTTGGATCTTCCATATAAGACAGACTGTTGTAATGAAGATCCGTAACTATCATTTCTGCGAAATCGATGAAGCCAGGAATGTCTTATTTTCCAGAGTACCGGTAGAAGACAGTTTGCAGATCTTTCAATTATTGCGAACTTAATTATTTGGGTCCACTCACTCTGAGTCAAAAAAAGCGTCGAAAAGAGATATAGTTCCTTATTAACCTGTTCAAATACCAGGGCGATCTACATAAAGGTGGCCAATTCATTGAACACATACTCGCCAATGATGATAGGTGATTGAAAAATTCATTGCAAGATGAGAACAATCGATCAAATTAAATTGCGATGATGAAACGAATTCCATATGAGCTGACGATTAAATAAAGGGAATATCTCCAAGAATGAGAATTTCATATATTTCCAATACGCCAGCAGCACCGCATACTGGGGTGATTATGGTAGAAAGAAATCCTCACCAGATTCTTACAAGAAGCTGAGATGATAGTCAATGTCAGGCCGATATTCGTATTCGTATATTGCTACTTCAAAGTTGCGAACCAACTCCCAAGAAGTCGAAACTTGTGCGTGGTTACGAACTGACAGTACCTTCGCATCGTGAACGGCTATCTAGCGAATTTCAGTGCGTAGACAAGCTCGGCCACGGCAATACACTTCCTCATCATTGATTAAGTTCAAGAATAAACAGTTAATGTCACATTTTTGGAGAAGATCGATATCACAGTATGTTTTATCGCTGCAGAAGAGAGAACAGTGATGAAACAAAACAACATGTGTGCAAGTTGGGAAATCGTAGCCGTTCTAGATTCCTACAAATAATGTCTATGGAAGGACAAAAGTCACCTAAACCCTACCCAGCAGAGACGGTGAGAATCCAAGTATCGAACTCGAAATATCCAATTCAAGTTTTTTTCGACCTGTTTACTCTTCAATTTTGCTGAATATTTGAGAATGTAGAGCATAATCGTTCTATCAACTTATTTTCATGTATTTTTTTGTTCACGTCGTATGTACACTGTTTATGTCAATGTAAATATGACGAACAATAATGTAAGAAGTAACGATCAATATAAATAGTAATCGAATGGAAAAACTATCATTTCTACAAGTCCTTACTCGCCACGAGTGTAGAGCTCATAGAGCAGAATCATAATGATCAGAATTGATAAATTTGATCATTTAATGTAAATGAATAGGAAAATCGGCAGTGAATGTTCATGACAATTCCACTATCGGTACTATAATAACGATCTGTTTTGAATATTATCGCCTTAGAAAATGGAGCAATCACCATACATTGTGATTACAAAGTTATAACTATAATTGTGTTCAATACGAACAACTTCGAACTATCATTTAGTATCAACAATGTTTCCAATAGTTATTCAAGTGTAGATATATATACTGGTTTATGACTTTCAGCAACATTGAGAATTGTTGTGAACGACAAGTATATGAACTCAGTAGGTGAATGTTCTTCTCTGAGGGGTGATGTACCCCCAGATTTAATGAGGTGGATCATGTTATAGGATGTGTTGTATTATATTGTGAATATTATGCAGATTGAAGATGAGAATACTTCGTACCTTCTTGATACTATAATATGGTAAGTTAAAGATGTTTTATGAAGGCTAGAAAATATCATCGGATGTTGCAATACTTTACACTCAAATTCGATGATTATCATCATCTATATTTCATTCAATGATGTCTGAAGTCAGTATAATTCTATTGATTTGAAAATAAATACTTGAGTCGGAGCTATTCTGGATATTATTGGAGTATCAGGCATCTGATTTTTTCGTGAATTGATTTTTTCATTCTTTCTGACTGATAAAGAAATCAGGATAACAAGAAATATCATTTCACCTATGAAAGTACCTAAATAATATTTCAGTACCGTCTCATTGCCGCCAATATCGAAATTCTGAATATCCAGAGCAGAATGGTTAGAGAGCAAGAACTGATTTTCCGAGTTGTTCTGCAGTATAAAATCTGAGCCTATGAGAATGACACAAAAATATAATGGTGATTCTTGAACGTCAATGCGATATGAGATATGATATAATATAGACAAATGCATATTTTCCATGGAATGTTATAAACATTTCTCCTTGTGCACAGTAGTCGATGAGATATTGGTTTCATGTGCTACCTTTCACCCATGAAGATTTCTACTATAGGAGTTATGCTCGACATAAAATACGAATATAAATCTGAATATCTCCCTGAGCGATAAGCGGCAGATATATTATATTGACATGACCATAGTACAATTCACAATCAGATGAAGAAACCTTGTATAAACGCGGTATCCAAACTATGTACTCTGAAATAATTCGTGACTGTGACCCAGTCATTATCCCAAATTTTTGAGGTGATACCTTCTTGCTTTTCGATTATTATATGGAATTACATCAGACACAAATATTGGCATTTTCTCTATGAACAGTGAAAAGATGCATTGGTGTTTCTTGCAGACATAACTTCTGAATGAAGAGGAAGCATGAATTTTGTATTAGTTTTTATGATTAGTGCTAGGTAATCTGATGACTTACTATCGGCGTTCCGTTCAGATCTCTTGAAAAATGGTAACATCTCCTTATAACTCCAACCTTCGTTTCCCATTGCTGCCCAGTCGTCAAAGTCTCTTGGAATCCCTCTCACATATCCCTCGGTCGCAGACGTACAGCCACCAAGACCTTTTCCTCTTGTCCAGGTACACCTCTTCTCTGGGTAACCTGTAGATTGGATACATTCATTATTTTTAGTCGTTGAAAGAAGCTTGACTCCAGGACTGTTCAACTCCAGGACGAGTAAACAGTTTTTGAAATCGATTATGAATCGGATTGAAGAATTAAGTTCTGGAATCATGATGATGAACTGTTGATTGGTATCATCAACTATTATAACAATCAAATTCCATCAATTTCTCTATTGTGAAGGTGAAGTACTTTGAGTATTCTTAATGTGATGTTTGTCTTCACTTTCTCCATGTATGTTATCATTTCCGTTTCTCTCCGTTTTATTAATTTTGTTACATTGAGTGTTTCATGGTAGAGGGGCATGTGTTAACTGAAGATCATTGAGGTGATTCCAAATAATCCGCACTTGATGAGTTTCTCGCCATTCTTACCTGAGTTGGAGTGTATTCCTGATTTTTTCATCTCTTTTTAGATTCATGGCGTTAAAATTATGTCATGAATTAATTTTTCAAATTTGACCCTCTTTATTTTTTAAATCCGCTGAGGAATCGACTGTAACAGAAATTCAGTTCTAATTCGACATAAATTCAATGTGTGATGACGAATAAGGGTGATTATTCATGACTCATTATTTTGCTCAATATAAGAACATCTCGATACAATGTTGCGACGGCTAGACGTAGAATAATGCAAACCTGGATGTATGAACATTTCGATAAGTACTACAATTCAATTCTCTGAAGAATATCCTTCGCGAAATTATTCGAGGAAGGACGAAAGGTTTATGTTTTATTTTGTTTCATCAGTTTCTCCCATGTGAAGAACCAAATTTCGAAAATAATAGACTCGAAACAAACAAATAAACTCCCGCATGGCACTATCAGACTTATTATCGACAAAATGAAAGATACAGTTTCCTCACACCATTCAAAAGCAATGAATCTGCTGCTATTGATGCTATATTTCAGTCGAACTCACCAAGTAAACACAAACATCCCTGGGATGTCACATTCATGTTTCGCTAGGTAATAATGCGAGTCACAAGAAAACATCATTGGACTCTTCATTCCACAAAACATTCGCAATATTCGTCACATTTCATTACATTCAAGACTTAAAATGTAGGTGAATTTGTGAAACTTCCTATTACAACAAAGAGACTCGCTGAACTTGAACATCACATTCTTGTCTATTTATGTAACGAACGGAATCAATCAATCTCAATATTGAATGAGGAGTCGCTTGATACGTACTGTTAGCCAGGCAGCACGAAGAGGTCCTGAAGATATCTTGAAGATATCCTTCTAGGAAATTGTGATGCCTTTTGTGACTTCTTTGAGAGATCGCCGAGAGCGCTATATCTATTTCAAATGTCCGCAACCTAGGCTGAGCTCAGCGAGGTCTTAAACATATCTCACGCAGAAATTCTCATACAATGCCCTCAGGCGAGCACTTTAAGATATACGCATCAATCGCCACTGGCGAGAGCTGAATGTGCTCGCAATTATGAGCTGTTTGAGAAATTCGCATACTCAGCTTTGAGACGAGGACATTGGGAGATTCGTATCAATTGCTTCTGGCGAGGTCTTTAAGTGCTCGTAACTACGAGCTGTTTGAGATATTCGCACGCATAGCCTCGTGAAGAGGACTATGGGGAATTCTCATCAATTACTAATGGCGAACTCTTCAAGTGCCCGCAACTATGAATTGTTCAAGAATTCGAGCACATCGCCTTATAATGAGGCCTTTAAGAGCGATATTCGCATCAATGGTCACATGATCGCCACTAATATGGTATGTTGTTCAATTTTTTAGAAGTCATTGGTTATCAGCAGTCGCCTGTCGGCGAAGTCTGAGTAGCGCCAGCTATATTGTTTGGGGTGTAGTTAAATTCACTCGATATTTATTTCAGCGCCGAAGAAAAAGTTACCAATCTTTTCGATCAACGTATTGAGCTTGAATTATATATTATTCTATCTATAGCAAGACATTGATCAAGTAAACTTTTTCACTTGAAAACATCTTTTAGGAGTTGGCCGGGTATTCATTTAAAAAAAAATTGAAATAATCTTCCATGATGGCGGGGAGATGATAAAATGACCAAATTCTCTGAGACAGTAAGGAAATGGAGTATCTAGTATACAATTATCATTATCATAGATTAATGATTCTTATTCCATGTTAATACTGGGTGTCCCAAGTAATCGTATGGGTACCTGCAAAAACTCTCTTATTCGACAAGATGATCAAAAAATAGTGAAAATGCCTCAAATGACTGTAACATGAAGATTTGCTTTTTCGTGTTCCATAGTGTGAATTCTGCAGATAGGTATTAGGGAAGCTTTGTAGAGATGCACTGCGTAACTCAATGATTTCTTTCCTAGGATTTGAGGTACTTTACATAATTCCATCTTGTTAAATGTTTTCATTTTCAATGTCCATGACTGAATGACTGTTAGGTTATTTTCGTCCACTTCTTATCCAACCTTTCACATTTGTCAGATGCCCATGAATATTGTTGTTTAAATCTTAGTCTCTTGCCAGTAGAAGACTGTTTGTCGCGTTTAGTGGCAGTGGCCTGTATTGGTGCAGGGATATACACAATGCTGTATCGACTGGTGGATCGACTAATGTATCGACTATCGTATCGACTATCGATATCATGATCGATATTTAATATTTCTTTCAAGTTGCAGCCTTGAATCTGAGATTGATCCTTTTATTTGGGTGGCTTGACGCTGCGCAAAGACGAAATTTGGTCTGCAATATTTTTATGAGATAGATCGCAGGTTCTCTAATTGACGAAAACTTGGTGTTTGAGCAATTTCCGTTTCATCATGCTTCTTGCTGATACCTTCTCTTGCGAGAAGGTTTCATATGGTGAAGCCAAAATAAGGCCCTTTTCGATCTTGGCTATCGTGCGATCAGGTCAGGTGGTGGACACCTACTTTTGTATTAGGCCTTTCCGATAGGAAGGTGAGAAATATGAAATCTCTTTTTGTTTGGATGATATTCGATAGGGTATGTACATTAAAGATATCAGATTTACAGGGGAGCACGGGGTACAGAAGTGGATGATATGAACTCCATTTTCTTTTTACCACATGGCATGATTCTGGACTTGAATTCTAACACTCAATAGTGTTAACTGGATGAATCACTAATGATCGAATCATTCGTCAACTATGGGCATTTAAAAAGCTTGAACTGTTTTCTGGACTTCACTGTTTGGGCATCACGTGGACACTTTTTTCGATGGTTGAGGCACCTGAGGGATCTTCGTGCTTTGAAGTCTGAGTTACCAATACACTTGATGGTAAAAGCAGGACCCTGGTGATTTCTTGTGTATGTCCTTGGAAATCTATAGGGCCCGACAGCCAAGAATATCTAACAAAATCCTTGCTGCCAACAGTGCAAGTTCCTAGCAGCCCTCCTGGTTTAGATAGCCAGTGATCCTGACTTCTGACAGGAAGTCCAGGGGAGTCCAGACTCCTGGTAGGGTAGATGACCCTTATTCATCCCTAGGATTTTGTTGCTTTGGAGCCTGAACTCCCAGTGCCCAGTCAGATAGTGAGACTTCCTGGTCCAGCATGGATTGTAGGAAGAGCTTGCCCTGGTGGCAGCCTGTGGACCCGTCAGCCAGAGTTCTAGCGCAGCATCCAGTTGGCATGGGATAAACCAAGTGTCCAGGTCTCCAGGTGATTGTGACTCCTGTCAACTGTATGGGGATCCAGTTTTCCTAGCACACCTAACCCCTAATGCTGACTGAGGAAGGACTGTCTTCGTTCAATCCAGGTAGTGAGATCTAGTGGATCACAGTTGGAATCTCATGGTACAAAATCCAGGTCTTGCAGTTAAGGTCAGAATTCTCCATATTATTCATATTTTTTCCCTGTCTTGAGGACATTAAACATATCATATTTTTTTTCACTGTCTGAGGACATATAACCTACGTATTTTTTCACTGGCTGAGGACATATAACATATACATATTTGTTTTCCTGTCTTGAGGACATTTAACATATCATATTTTTTTCACTGTCTGAGGACATACAACATAAATATTGTTTCACTGTCTGAGGACATTCAACATTTACTTTTTTCCCTGTCTGATGACATTTACCATACTTTTTTTTCTTCTATTTGAGGACATTTAAATAGTAATTCTTCACTGTCTAATGTCAAGAGATATTTAAGCACTTGTCCACAACAACCCTGTCAAAATCATTAGCAGCAGTGAACGTATAGCTCTGAAGTTCTCGCGTTTTTTTATCGGATTTATAGTGATTTCAAAACTGGGAAGTTTACCAGTTGTGCAAAATAGTGTGACCTATAATTTGATACAATCATCGTACCAAAATTATTTTTGTAAGTCCATATCCTATTATGATTTAGTTATCAATTGAAAATGGTTAATTGCACTGAATGTTTAACGGCGATTAGCAGAACGAAACCGGCGATTTTTTGTGAATCATGCAAAAACTCTGTTCATTCTGCTTGTATTTCTAAGACGATAGATATACTGAACGCAATAAATGCGGTACCAGGTCTTTTTTGGAGATGCAATGACTGTCTCAGGGATTGTGTTTCGATTAATCAAAATGAAATCAGTCAACTATTGGAATCCAAAATCGATGATGCGTTATCCAAAATAAACAGTCAAATATCATCCATTCGATCTGACCAAAATGATCAAGGAGCCTTCAGTCGATAGTACTCCCATTCCTTATGCAGATGTAGTCAAGAATAAAACCCATCCTGCTGTTATTATCCATCCTAAGAATGTGAATCAGCCTATAACTCAAACTAAATCCGAGCTTATGAGTAACATCAACCCGTCGCAGAATGATTTTCAATTAGCAAAAATCAAACATATGAAAGATGGCGGAATTCTCATTGGTTGCAAGACCAAAGAGGATAACGAAAAAGTTAGAAGGCTGGTTGAAAAAAAGATGGCAGTCTCCTATGATGTTCGAGAATTTGCTGGTATCAGTCCAAGACTCCGTGTGGTTGGAATGTCTGAATTGTACTGTGAC